GCGCGCGCGCCAGCTCCGCGCGGCACTTCAGGGGGGCCCCAGCCCCTGCCCCCCCCTCCACCACCACCACCGCACGCGCGGAGAGCAGCGCCGCCGGGCCGCAGCGGCGCGCGCGCTGCTTCGCAGCAGCACGGGTTTCTTACGCGGCCGAACAACGGGAAACTTCTGCTTGGCCGGGCGGCCCAGCAACGTCTCGAGCGGCGCAACCCGCTCGGGGTCGGCGCCCTGGCTCGCCAGCTCAGCCCGGGTCGCCTCGAGCGCGACCGCCGCTCGCGGCAAGGCCGCCAGCGTGTCTCTGGGAATGGAAACGCTGGAGACGCCGAGGTCGCGCTGGATCTCGCGGCCGCTTGCGCCCGCGACGCCCAACGCGCCGCCGCGCACCTCGCGGCCGCCCGCCGTGCGCCGGCCCCGCCCAACTTGAACGGCAGGCCCAGCTGCTCTGCTCGCACGCCTCTGGGCCGAGCGGCCGTCCAAGCGGGCCCTCCCAACGGCCCCTCAGTGCGGCGTCGCTGCGGAGGGTCTCCTCTTCTCTGGCTGGTGTTGACTGCGTGGGCGCTGCGCAAGGCCGCCGCCGCCGGCCTTTCGAGCCCTCCTTTCGGCCGTCTCTCGAGGCTGGCCCACAGCCCCTAAAAGCGCGCGACGGCTTCGCCCAGACCGCCGCTTTGCCTGCCGAGCAGTGGCGCTGCGTCGGCGCCCCTGGGCGCCCTGAGCTGCGCGCCGTGGGCCCGGGGCGCGGCGGCGCACTTGTCGGCGAACTCAGATTTGACAGCCTGGGCCCCCGCCGGGGGTCCAACCAGCGTCTCGTCGTCGTTCAGCTCGAGCCCCGATGGGGGCGATCAGCTTTCGCAGGCCGGCCAGCCCCTGCGCATCGAGGTCGCCCGCGCCGCCAGGCAAGCATCGTCGAGGTAGGGGCGCAGGCGGGCCCCCGGGCATACTTGCCGCGGACGGCGGAGGAGCTGCTCGAGGCCGCGCCGCTGCGCGAGAGCGACGCCTGCAGGAAATAGCGGGTCGCCCTGGTCAAGCCCGCGCTGACTCTGCACCGTTTCGACGCTGCCGTCGGCCGCGCGCCGCGAGCCCGTGCTCCGCTGGGCCCGAATAGTTACCAAACCCGCAAAGCCGCCGCCACCTCAGATACGGCTTCGTCCATGGCCTCGAGAGCGGGGCGCAGTCGCATCCGCTCGAACGCTGCCTTAACATCCGCTCTGATGAACGTCGCGTCTGGCCGTGTGTCCGCGAGAGCTTGCAAGTTCTTCACCAGCGCGTTGGCGCCGCCCTTGCGTCCGACGCCGCACTGGTGTTCCCCTGCTGCGTCAGCCAGCTGGGCCATCCGCGCTCGCGCCAGCGCTCGCAGCCCCAAGCGACGCAGGGTGGCGCCCACCAGCATCAGTCTCACCTCCCCGGCGCCCTCCGCGAGCGCCACGAGCTACCCGGCGCGCGGCGTCTCGAGGACCTCCCGCGGCAGATCCCCAAAGGCGACCTTGGCGAGCAAGTGTGAAGCCTCGCCGTCGCCTACGGTTGCCCCCAGGGGCTCGAGCCGCGCCCCAGAGAGGCCTGGCGCCGCCAGCCGAGCAGGGCGCCGCAACAGGTTCCAGAGCTCCTCCTCCTCCGCCTCCTCCCTGATTTCGGCGCTAGGCGGCGCTGGAAGCACGGCAGGGGGCGGCGTTTCGCTGGCGCCGCCCACGGGTTCCTCTGGGAACTCGCCCGCAGTCTGTCCATCGTTTCAGCCGCAGCGCCAGTTCGACCGGCGCCGTTGCTGCCAGCGCGTGGGCTTCCTCCCCAGCCGCGGCTAGGGCGTGCACCTGGTGTGCCCTCTGCTTGCCTGTTGCCATCCTTGACGGCGCTCGTAGAACCGGGCCCCCGAGGCCGAAGCGCAAACCTGTGTCAACTATCCGCCCCGCCACAGCGCCAGCCGTTCTTCCAACGGCTCCTCGCACAGCGGATGTTATTATTGGGGGCTGCCCTTACAGAGATGCAGCTGTACCGATGGCGGCTGCCCCACGTGCACATGCGCGCTTCCTGAATCTCGGCAAGTATTGCGCACCTTTTGCACGCAGCTGGACGCTTGAAAAAGGCTGCTGAAGGTCCAGGGCCCACTCCTCGCGAGGCCGGCTGCGCCAGGAATTGGCTCCGCCGGCTGCAGCGCCTCCGCCAGCTGGTGGCATCTCCTCGTCGTCTTCCACGCGGCCCCTCCCCTGGGTCTGCCCGCCGCAGCCAGCGCCGCGCCACTCGCTGGCGCAGCGCCGTGGTCGACGTCAAGCTCCAGTGGAGTTGGGGAGGGTGAAGGTTTGAGTACGGAGTTGGAGAGCGAAGAGGAGCTCTTCCTCCTCGTTCTCCAGTCCCCCCTCCTCCTCCCCCTTCTCCTCGTCATTCCTTTTGTTATGAATAACTCCTCCCTGTCGCACCCTGACACGTGTGGGTAACTAGGGGCGGAGCGTTTCGCCTGAATTCCTTACCGCTTATGGCTAACACTCCAAAAACCCCACGGATGGAAAAAGGGCCGTTCTCAAAATTGCGGCTATCACTTTAGCGACGCACGCACTCGGCTTAAAACGTTGCAGGAGCTTCACGGATAGAGGGCGGGTGGGTTTCAACATATGCGCATTCGTTTCAAAGTGTGCAAGTGCTTCACGCATGGAGGGCGCTTGGTGTTCCAAAGGACTCTCGCCTTAGCGCCTCGTGCACTCGTCTGGGAAGTTGGCGAGTATTTCGCGGATGCAGAGCGGGTGATTCTCAAAATGTGGCTCTCGCCTTAGCGCCGAGCGCATTATTCTTACACGTTGGCCAGAACTTCTCAGATGAAGGGCGGCTCCTTTGCAACATGTGGCTCTCGCCTTAGGGTCGCGAGCATACGTTTGAAATGTTCACAGCAATGGCAAGGAGTCTTATGGTTGACGTCCCATCAATGGCATTCTGGTGCGATCTCAGGGTTATCAGGGCACGACAGTCACGTTGATTCGCGGTGTTGCACTTCCAGGGACGGCTGTCTGGCACGATTCAAGATCGCCAGGCCGCATCAGTAGCAGCACTCGCGGCGTTGAAGTCCCAAGAATTGCGTTTTGGCACGATTGTCTTCGAACGGGGGACTTCCAGCGGTGACTAGATATTGCAAGGATTTATAAAGAAGAAACCTGGAGGGACGGTTTACCGCAACACGTTTGATGCGTCTTGGGTTTGCACTGGTCATCCTGCGCCTCCTCCTCCTCCTCCTCCTCCTCCTCATCCCTCCTCTCGCCTTCCTCTGCCAGTTGCTGACAAGGCTTTCGGCTTCATCAGCGTCGCAGTGCAAAAATCGCCTGCCTCATCGCGCCTCCCTCCAGTTCCTCCTCCCTCATCGCGCCTTGCTCCTGTCGCCAAATCCTCCTCCACAACCGCTCATCATGATCACCGCTGCTGTCCGCACATTGTTTCACGCTCAGGAAGCATCACACGTTGCTCGTTTCAGGGGTGCTTTCGCCAAGGTGCCTGCCACATTCCTGCCACCTCCATGGCTACAAACGCAATGAGCAAATAGTATCACCCACTCTCCTTCGAAGACGTCCTGTCATTCACCCGCTCCGAATCCTGGACGACAGCGGCTGGGGAGGTGGCTGCGGCGCCAAGAAGCCGTCGTCGATGTCGTCGTCGACGCCGTCGGCAGCGTCGTCATCGTTGTCTCCCTCCCTGTTTCCGTCCTCCTCCTCCTCCTCATCGTCCTCCTCCTCCTCCTCCTTCCCCTCCTCCACCTTCGACCTTGCCCGTCCCCTCATCCTGCTGCCACATCCAACTCCTCCTCGTCCCTCTCGTCGTCGTCCTGCTGGTTCTTTCCTATACTCCTCAATTCTCATGCTCATGTTCCGCCTCCTCCTCCTCCTCCTCCTCCTCCTCCTCCTCCTCCTCCTCTTCCTCCTCCTCCTCCCCCATGTGCCCTGCCCCCCCATACACACACATACACGCACACACGCACACACGCACACGCACACGCACACCCACACACACACACACTCACACACACGCACACGCAAACACACACACACACCACACACACACAAACACACACACACACACACACACACACACACGCACGCGCACACGCACACGCACGCGCGCACACGCACGCACACGCACGCACGCACGCACGCACGCACGCACGCACGTACCCTCCCCCGTCCCCCGTTCCATCTCTCCATCTCCCTGCTCGTCTTTTCATGATCTTGCTGCTGTTGCTGTTCCTGCACCTCCTCCCACGTTCGCTTCGCTCTCTGCCTCGACCTCATATCCTCTCCCGACAAGTTCCTCCTCCTCCTCATAGCCCTGATCCTTCTCCTCCTTCCTTATGCCCCCCACGCGCGTCGTCTCTCCACGCAGGGGTCACCCGACCTCCCTGCGGGCTGTCTGGTTCCATATATTACCAAGATAAGCAAGGAGGGGGGGAAGAGGCAAGGGGGGGGAACCAGGGAAGGCTGGGAAGGCGCGACGGAAGATCCGGGCCTCCCCCCCGCTGCCATCCAAGACATCCTCCCGCTCCAACCTCATAACTCCTCCATCCAGACCTTCCCGGCGTCTGAAAGGGCCTCTGACATCCGCGGGCTCATCCTCAATCCGCGGCCTCAGAACTCCCGACATGGGCGCAAAGCTTGGCATTGCTTGGCACCCGGGGGATCTCTGGGGAAAGGGCAAAGTAGGGCCCCGAGACACCAATCTTCAACCAAGTCAGAACCCCTTGGGCAAGCCTTATTCGGAAACAGCGTCGTCAGAGATCTTCGGGGGCGGCCAAGAGGGGGGCGTCCAAGAGGGGGGGGGGTGCAAATCAGGGCCAAAGGCATGTGCGCGGCCCAAGGGGGGGCCAGGGACGTAATGAAATAAGAAGAGGCGCCATGAAACCTGGGGAGATATCGTGGCCCCCGCCATGAGATACACCCCCCCTAGCCATCACCCTCCCCTTGGCCGCCCTCGAGACCTGGGACCTCAGGCCGACTCCCTGATCGATCGATCGACGACGACCGACCCCCTGGGCTGGCCGC